CTCCACTGGTGACCTGTAATTATTTTAAGATTCTCTAATTTTTTCATAAAAATACACAATTATTAATTAATAAGTCTCAATTTATCGTAACAGAAAAAATAGTAAGGGATCCTTACCCAGATTGTTGTTTTAGGATGTTGCGCTGTCTATTACGCTTTCTTATCGTTACTGGATTTTCTGAATTATCCATGCAGAATCTAAAACACTTGTCATGTACTTAAAAATACCATATGAATCCAAAATCGGTGTCCAAAACTTGTTCCAGTCAATTTTGGGGTCCTGGCACGCCGTCGCCTCCCACAGTGGTGGTTCGCCTTAGCCTAACCAGTTTTGGTCAGTTTTTGGGTTGTTTTGGCCGTATCCCTGTAGAAAAACATATCAGGGGCCTCAGTTGACCGAAAAACTGTATAAAATCGAACTCATCGGCAGAGGGGAGACCTCCGAGTGCAGTGGCTCCGCCGGTTCTCCTTCCTGGCCGAGATTCTTTCTTCAATCAACCTGCACAGAAAAAGATGATGAACACAATGGTCAAAAAATTATGTGAAACGGGAATAAAAAAGGGGCTCATCGGAGGGGTTTTGGGACTTTGACTGCGGCAGCTCCGCCGAGCTTTTCCCACGGTTTCAGGCTCATCTGCTATTCCTTTTGCTCCAATTTGACCATGGGGGTGCTCTGAATCAAATTTCAAATAGGTATAAGAATTTTTACCTTTTTTGGCAGTCGGAGGTGGCTCCGGTGCGGCGGCGGTTGGCGGTTGGCGGTCAGCTCCAGTGCGGCAGCGTTTGGCGGTCAGCTCCGATGCGGTGACGGTCGGCTCTGATGCGGCAGTGGTCGGTGGTCAGCTGCCTTCTCTGGCAACTGGTTCTTATTCTCCAGCAGAAGGCTAGCAACTAAGGTTCGGGTTAAGTGTGATGCGAAATATTTATACTCACCTCGCACTAATCTTGGTCGTTCATCGTGTTTAATCTTGACCATCTGATCGCATTTAAAAAAGAAAATGAATTTAAACCATTCATTGCAATTTGATCTCGACCATCCGATCGCGTTTAAAGGGAGAACAAATTCGGGTTGTCAATGTGCGCAGGATCGATCCTGAACTGTTCAATCGTGGGTCCAGCAGATCACCCTCGTGGCATCCCGCGTGGCACCGCTGTCAACATGCCTTATCACGCAGCATGCTCCGGTTCCTCAGGGTTGCTGACTAGACGGTCTTACGTGGTAAAATTTTTTTTATTTGCACTCTGACTCTAATTTTCTTATTTTTCTTTCAAAAACACTCCCCAAACCCAAATTTTCACCATTTCTTTTCAAAATTATTTTCAGTTTCATCCCTAACCTATTTTTTTCCATAAATTCAACAAACCTTAAAATAAATTAATTTAAAAATAAATTTTTTATATATCTAAAATATTAAAATTGATCCCGGGCTAAATTCTGGACCCGGGTATTATATTTTTTATTTAAAAAAATAGTAAAAAGATTAAAATGTACCTCATCTTCAATTTCTCTACCGGGTAAAAGAAATTGGATGTCCATTAATAGAATTTCTTTTTTCTAAACATAATTGACTTTAAAAAATACATAACTCTATGATTTTTTGTCTATAAATTACAAATAATATACAAAAT